AACTTTGCCAGGCTATCATTCTAAGCTGACTGGCCAGGCCAACATGCAGCTCCAACCTGCAGCTCCAATTACAGCAAGTTCACCCTCATTGGTGACCAGAGAGTAAGGGTGGAGTGAGGGTCCAAACTATCTCTGGAATGCAGTCTTTACCCAGCAAAACCTTAAATTGTAAAATGGCAGTTACACAAAGCAATGGCTATGAATACTTATGCTTGGTTCCACAATGGGAATAGTACTTAGGAAAAAACTAAAACCGATCTCCTAACCCTTCAATGCGGCAGGCTGCGCCTCCCATGCTTTCTCTTGACAAGGTCCAGGCATTGGGGTAGACTCCCGAGAAGCGGGGAGTTCCTGTGCTCCCCCGAAGAGGGAAAGTTGTACTTCCCAGAAGAAGGAAGTTCTTGCACTTCCCAAAGAAGATTTGAACTAGGGAGTGTCCATGGCAACGCCTGCTAATGCTCTCCTCTTTGTTCTTGGTTAATGCTGAAGTAAGTTAGTTATAAATTGGCCTGTGAAAACCTAATTCGTGGACCCAGGTGACAATTAGCTTATTGTTCTTATGCATGAACTATCACAAAAGAAGTAAAAATTGCTAAAGGTATAGTTAGGAAAGAAATGTTTTGGCCCTGAGAACTATGCAGAACAAGCTGCCCTGAACCAACTGTGCTTGGAAGCCATAGCATGTTTGCACCAGCAGTACATTTCCTGGTGTTTGCAAGAGGTCAATTGTTCTCAGGCCATGTGGAGGTTAGGAATTTCTAGTTAGGAGTTAGACTTCAGTAGAACTTCCATAGATTTGATGAGTTGTTTTAGACCACTTTGAAGTAATCAATATATTAACCAAGTTAATTGAGTACTAGGAGATAGATTGACTTTAGTAATTGTATATACAATAGGAATTTTACACCCACTTTGTAATTGGGAAAGTTTAATTGTTGCCAAATGTTGTGCTGTCTTGTATGATTGATCATGCTAGTAAATGAGCTGTACCTAGGAAACTAATTGTTCTTAGGTTACCAAAGAAATGGCCTCTGTAGGCCTCTGTAGGTGTAAGGCCAAGGGAGTCTTTACATGATCATGAGAAAATATGTATTGATTGTCTTTGCTCTGCTTCAATGTTTACGCTGATGTAATCCCACCGTTCTCATTAAGGTATAAATAAAGACCCGCTGAGACCCTCAGCAGGAGATACTTGCACGAAATAAGGTGTCTGTGTCTTCCTCACTTCTACCTCGCTCCACTTCCCTTCAGCCCTCCGAGAAAGAGAAAAGACTTCACCGACTCCGTCCTCTCCTTTCTGAGATCCCTGACACGACTTCTAGCTGGAGCTGGTCTCCATCACTTCAATTCCAGACTGTTTCTTCAGAATGAACCTCCTCATATTGGCTGGCCTTCTGAGCACTGCCATTGCCTTGCCCATCCCCGTGAGTACTCCGCCTCTGGCGTGGACTCCACTTATGTCTTATAGACGTTGTTTCTGGGTTAGATAACTTACCTCTTCTCATTTCCACAAAGGGGGATAGTATTGTCCAGGAAAGTCACAAAACTAGGAATTTACTACTCTCCCTCAGCCAAGAGTTTTCCCAAACCAAAATAAGAACTACCTAAGAGGATAAAAATGTATCAAAAGCACTCAGGAGCCCCAGTTGAAACCTAAGCTCTCAAATAAACCTAGTAACATAGTACAAGTATTCCACAGTGACCCAGGTCTTAATTATGCAGTTTGAGTTGAGTTCCAGTTCCAGTTCCTTCATCCCAAGCTATTTCATTTGACTATTGACTACAGCCAGGCCTCCACATCTATGCAAATGAAACTGAGTCTAATCTGTTTATTACAGTCTAAATATCCAGGGCACCAAGGAGGGAGCAAGCTTGTAACAAAGGAGCTTTTCAAAGACGTGAGAGAGCTTTCAAAACCTGTGTTTGCAGAAACAAAAATTAAATTTACTCTTTCACACTCACTTCACTTCGAACTTAATAATGCTAAGCTCTAAACAGGGACATTGCTCGAACAAAGGAAAAGAGATGCAATATATAACTGAAGAAATATAAATTCTTTGGAAATAAGTTTTAAGACAAAAAGTTTGTGACTAATTCACTAGACAAAATTAAGTCAATTTTTATTAGATACTCAACTTTTATTTCAGAAGTGAAGCTACACTGCTGATGGATATAATGCGCAATAATGACTTGTTAACTATTCTCATTTAGAATACAGTTACCAAGAGTTAGTTGTTAATTACAGAGAGTTACTTGTTACTGTCTGTAACAAGTAACATATTGCCTTGTCTTGATTTACCTTGTTACCTGTTGTTGCTGTTATTGTTTTACAAGTTTCAGCAATCTGGAGGGAGTTCCAGTGAACAGGTAAACTTCTAATTGTATTTTCAAATGATGTGTTTATCATTTTAAAAGTCTGCAATTATCTAAAATGACTAACATCATCTTTCTTTTATCAGAGATTTAACTTTTACCCACTACAAGGACCACCGTTTTTTCCTCCGATCCCATTTCTTCCACCACCACCACGGCCCCCAGTAAGCATGGGCTTGGGGAATTTCAAATTGCAAAAGTATGTATTATTTGAAAAGTGGTTGTGAAAGTTTCCAAATTTTGATACAGAAATATTAGGTTTTTAGAGGTGGCTAGGTTCATCTAGTCATCAGTAGTGGTGGAATGTGATGGGAGCTAGCAAATTTCCCTCCAAATCTCAATAACTCATTTCAATGTCTCTCTATACTTACCTTCAACTAGGTGTCCATACTGAGTTACTATCACTGCAAGCCTACTTATTCTTCATGAGAGTATTCATATAATATTCATTCATTTTATTTTCCTAAATCGCCTTACTGCTTTTTCTAAAAAGATTTTTTTCAGCTCTCATAGCTTTTCCTCACAGGCCATTTATTGTACTGTTCTTGTTGCACTCTCTCCTAATATCTGTATTCTTCTAGCACTGTTTAGTAAGGGCCAGAATAATGCTAAACATCTAATAGAATTGCCCTCATTCTACATCTAGCACTTTTGCTGGTACAGATAACATTCATTCAGTTAACAGTTACTGAGTGTCTACTATATAATATACATATAGATATAGAAAAAGTGTAAGTTCACAACCTGATGAGATTCATAAATGGAAAAAAACACATAATTTGATAAGTGCTTCTAAATGCAAATACAAAGCCAACATGTGCTGTGGGTTACAGATTTCATTCACAGAAAGGGTAGTATCTGAATGAGAGGATGAAAGATGAGGGGTGAATAGGGCACTCCAGCCAGAGGGAACAGCAAGTGCATGGGTATGAACCTGAGGACAAGGTGATTCAGGCAAAGAATGATCAGGATAAGGTTGCATTACAAGTTGAAGACACATTCAATTTGGACTGTATTTAAGCAATGTTTTGGAAAGCTCACACACATCTTAAATTAGTGTCTTGCTTAACTCCTTGTGGGATCATCTAAATATTTTTAAAATATAAACACAGTTTTGAATAGTTTATTTATAACTAAACATAATCTCCTTCATTTATTTCAAACTGTTTATGTCAACTTTAAGTTGGCTTTTAGAAATTTGTCACTAAAATTACAGTCCTCAATGGAACATTCTTTCCCTTTAATGTTTTTACATGTCCCATTGAATCCTAGCCGATTAATTTCTAAGTACTTACATTTATAATTAGTTGTTATTCTTTGGTTCTAGTGAGTGTAAAGTACATTGTTTTCCCACTTTTGGGCTGAAATCAGTAAGATTTTTTTAATTAATGTAAACCTCTCCTTTCATACAACACAAAATCCTGATGTTTTCCTTTATAATTAAAATTTGGGAACCAAATAAATAAATAAATAATAAAATTTGGGAACCTCTGTTAATATCTTGTTTAAAATTATGTAAATCTATATAGATAAAAAGAGCCATTAACTTTGAACTGGAAAGATTTCCTTCCACCAGATGGCAAAATAGTATTAAAAATCAGGCAATCAATGAAACCGTGCTATAGAGAAATATTGATTTGCAAGAACTGTCAACATATAAGACAAATTCCTGGACTGTGATTTAATAAATTAGCAAAATAAGCACCATGAATGAAAAGAAATTATTTAAAATACACCAGAATCTAATCTCCACCATATAAAAGATAGACTCCCTGCAAGCACAAACTGCTTAATAAATCCTGGCTGGGTGAGTGGGTGGATGGATGGATGGATAAGCAAATGATTAAATGAGGAAAAAAGTCAAAATAAAACATTCAAATTTTGTTTTCTCACAATTCACTTTTTCCCTTCCTTGTAGATTCCAATTCCTATTCCTTTTCCTATTCCTTTTGATCCAAATCAGGTAATTATACTTATGCTTCCCTCAAAAATGTTATTTTAATTATCACAAAACAAAAATTTGAAAATTCTTTAGACTTAATTGGAGAGGACTTAATAGTTAACATTCTCTATGAAGGATTTAGTTATTAATATTTTGACAGATCTCAGTCATTTAATGTGCAGGTATCACAAGTACTAAACTATCTAAGATCTGAAATTTTTCCTTAATCATGTGGAGGAAACCTTGCAGAGCAGTAGGGAAAAGTAATTAAATAATCTGCAAGCTCCTGCTCTGCCATTTACCTTGAAGTAACCTTTGTTTCTTACTTTCTTCTAAAATATAAAATGATGAAAACAGATGATTGATAAAGCCCATTTCAGCCCTAAGATTGTATGCTCACATCTGCCATTAATGGGGGAAATTCATCCTTATTAAAATGCAACCTGTCCTAAAATTTCAAAACTAAATTTAAGGATATGGTTATGGTATAAAAGGGTTATTTCAGTTTTACTTTTGACAGGATTTTACTGAATGACTGATAATTACATGTGATAAAACTGACTTAGTCACAAAGAGTTATGTATTATAACTTCAAATTTTTAAATAATACTCCTATTACAACTATAGGAAATATCATTAAAGTTTCTTCATAAAAAAGTGATGCCAAAATAAAGTCTTTTATCCAAGCTAGTAAGTATACATTTAATGATCTTTCCAAGAAACATTTGGAGCTCACATAAGAAAATGTGGATTGTTTCTGGAGATAGTCAAGGTTGAAAAGGGTGGGGTGAGGAGTACATGGGGGAAGTGGGGTACTTAAAGTATTAGTTAATAATGGATCTTAATGACATAATTTTAGAAACACTAGGAATTCTGAAAAGCATGTTTTTATTAACCAAGCTAATCTAAAGTATGCAACATGAAAAGAGATAAAATGTTGAATTACAATTCCTTGATTGTGTTTCTTTTTGTTCTAGGTCCTGACAATTAATGATCTCATAGCGGTAAGTACATTGGAGATTGTTAAAATCTACAAAGTTTATAAAAAATATTATATGCAACAACCTATATAAGAGCCAGATCATATGAAAATTACTGGCTTTTTTAGTCCAATAAATTTAGAAAGAAAGCACAGTTAAATTCAAAGCCAAAAATAATCATGTGAACAGTTCAGCACTTATTTACTCAATTCATCCAAATTATAAATCAACAAAACAACTTCTATCATTGATGAGGGTAAAAGTAACAAGTCAGAAGACTTAAGGTTACAGAATAATTTCCTTTATGAGATGAAATAGGTTTGGTTATTCCTTCACTAATGAAGCATTAACATAAACGCCTAATACAATAAAGACAATCAGATCTAAATCCCAACAAATTTTTTTTACCAAAATGCACATAATTCAACATTTTAATGAAGCCCTTTATTGATGTTAGAATCTGTTTATGAAAACACTGAAATGTACTTGGAGTTACAAAGGATAACACTAAAAAAAGAAATTAAAGAAATTCCATTTCTTTAAAAACACATTTCTCATAACTTTTCTGAAATCAAAGGCACATCTCACAAAAGATACATTTAATCGAGAATTTCATTTATCTTTACAATGCTTAACCTAGGGAGCTTCCTGATGGCTCAAGGGGTTAAGTCTCAGCACTATGAAGCTTTCGGCAGCCACTGCAGCACATCCCTGGCCAAGCAGCTGGCCCACATGGCACAGCAGACCTCTCTTGTCTTGCCTGCTGCTCCCCTCCACAGTGTATTTCAGTACATCTGCCTGTTCTGCTCCCCACTCTGTCTCTGGTGAATCCTCTCACCACCCCGTACCTCTGGCCTACACCCCAGCTCTTGTACACATAAATAAATATTTTTAAAAAATGCTTAACCCAAATGGTCTATTTTAATGGTAGTATTTTGGAATTGGGGACATACAGTATTTCCTAAAAATGTCAGTTACAAAATTTGCGTGCCTGAGACAAAATTTTTCAAGATTCTTCAATAAGGTCTATTTAAAATTAAGGATAGCCTCTGAACAAAACTAAGTACCTAAATCTTTTATGTTGAAATAGCTAGTGCTCTCCCCACAATCCACTCTATTCAAGTGGTATTCTAGTTCATTTCCAAATGGCAAGACTTAAAATTTCCAGCATACCGCCAACTAAAATTGTTTTAGGAAACTACCTTCAATGATTAACTACTGATGATCACAAAATTAGAAAGTTCATCTTTGAACCAACATATGGTCAAGAGTGTTGGCCTATGTCTGGAAAGCCTAGATTCTAATCTCTTTACAATTAAAATAACCACATGAAGTTGGGTAAAATGTATGAACTTCCCTCTAAATTAATCTCCAAGTCATCTCCAAGTGACTCCATAGATCCATGTGATTCATTCAAATTACCAGATCTGAACATTTAATTTCATACCTATTTAATTTATACCTATTTGTACTTTTTCTTTTTTTGAGAAAAATTGGGGTACAGGCCAGAGGCATGGAGGTAAGAGAGTTCACCAGAGACAGAGTGGGGAGCAGAACAGGAGGAATTACTGAAATACACTGCTGAGGGGAACAGCAGAGGAGACAGGAGGGGTCTGCTGTGCCATGTGTGGCTTAGGTCCCCGACTGGGGATCAGTATCAGGCCCAGCAGTGACAGCACTGAGACTTAATCCCTAGGCCACCAGGGAGGCCCGTACTTTATTTTTCTGAACTTTTCAAAGTGTTATTGCCCATATCCATCTTGGACAAGAAACTGACATAATAATTTATAAAACTGTCTTATCTACATGATGATGTTTTTTTTTTTCTCTTAGTGATTATGGTAAAGGAGCAGGAAAAGGGATCCTAAGAGAATAAACATGACATCAGGGCATTTTTCTTGCCTAAGAACTGCCTATGGGACGGGGTTTTGCTTACATGGTCTTAAATATACTCTGGAATGGACAACTCTGCAAATAAATGGTTGGCCTTCTTGATAGAGGGGTCAATTTCTTGGGCAAGCTTCCAGTCTCTTAAATCAGAAGGACCAAGAAACTGCAGTGTAAGCAAACCCTCCAAGTAAAGTATTCATAGTAGCACTAAAATTTTGGTTCAAGTATCATTCACAATGGAATTTGTATCATTTAATAAAGAGAGCACTTCTAAGGAAGTATACAGTGAGTTTCTTAACCATTCACATCAATTTCCTATCTTTTGGATAAACTGAATAGTTATAGGAAAATATTTCTGTGAATTAAGGGATTTAAATCTAGATATTATGTATTCATTTTAAAATCTTGAATCACATAAATAAAACACCAAGCAGTAAAATGGAATTAACTTTTCAATAAAAACAAAGATTTTCATGCATATTTTTATTACTACCTTAAAAGTAAGAAGTAACACATTGATAGCACTAATAATTGATATTTTTTCTTCTTTCCCAGTTAATCACTTTTATTTTGAACCAACTAGGGGTAAGTCCATATTTATTTTTAAGCTATCATAAACTACACATCTGTTTTATGTACTTAAGATAATCTCTTTGTTTGTTTTTAGGACTTATTTGGGGTAAGACTTTATTTCTATGATTATATTAATAAAAGCAAGTGACATTTAACCTCAGGAAAGGTAAGAATGTTTCTTCTAAATTATAAAAACATATGACAGAATCAAATTCAACTAACCTACAAAAATTAGAGCTCATGAGCCATAAACTCAATTTCTTTCACGTTATTTACATCAGAATTTCTGTAGCTCTAAAAAGGTATTCTTTCCTAATGTTCATGGTATTTAATATAACTTCCATTTATATAAATACATGTAATAAGGGATTAAGAAATTTCAAACAGTAAATTTTACCTCTAGTTTATTTCTGTCTTACAAACAATTCAGAGTAAACAGCGATGTAAGCATGCTGTGAAACTACCAAACCTAGAAATGGCTTCATCTCAAAGGTGCACATCTCCTTAACATACAAGCCAGCAGCTTGGATAGAAAAGTTACAAAACTTGATTTTCTATTTTGATTCTCACCCAAAACTGATTTCACTTAAAATTATACCCATAATAGAGACCCAAAAGGTATACTCCTTTTTAAAATATCTGAATGAATGCCAATTAAAATTATATAGTTTGTATTTATTTGAATCTACCTTGAGAAAAGTTGATAAATCATAATATCCTCAATCCAAATTTTGAGATACTGAATTTCGTTAAGTTTTGCTTCTGAATAGTAATTTCTTTGTTCTGAAGTGCTTATTTAGTATCTCTTTTATCATTTCAAATACTTGAAATCAGATCAAATGGGAAAAATTTAAATCTATGTTGCAGAAAAAAGTTGCAGAAAAAAGTTTTACCTTCTAAAACACGATTATACCAAATCTAACCCATTACTAATGAAATAAAACAGGGGATGTGGGTAAAGTCGAAAAATGTAGGGGAAGTCAAAAAAGAAATTATAGCAAAAATACCTTTGTATAGTAACTATAATCTGTATGTTTATTTTGACAGAACTAATTCTCTCACTGTCAGAAGCTATATGAGGTTAGTAAAATCTCCAGAAATCTTTCAAGCATTATTACACATCTTTAAATATTTTTGCCTTCAGAGTATGAGTTTCAGACTGTATCCATATTGGTAATTTTAATAAAATGATGAAAGTGTTATTGATGATCAAATTAATTAGAAACATTTTCTACAGAGAATTTATTTTTAAATCAGTTTATTTACCAAAATTTAACCAATATTTTTGAAAACAATACTAACTGCCAGAAATCCTGATACCATAAGAAAGAGTAGCATTTAACCTGTAAAGTGGTTGAGGTTTTCAAGTGCCATCTTTAGTTACTGCCTGAATTCTTAGCTTTTTAGATAGTTATCATCTTATGTAAGTTTAGTTTATGTTCCTATTTGAGTTTGAAATGTTTTCAAAAATTCAAGAATACCTGCTGGTAAGATAATTACTGATTGTGGCCACTTGTCCTCAAGTCAAGATATGATCAAGTAAATTGTCTTTGGACCAAAAATATTCAAGCAATTTCAACAATACAAGTCAAATCAGATGTGGCCCTTACATCTCAAGTCTTAAATGACATAACTATTAATAATGATAGCATAAGTAATGCTTAAGGAATATATAATCTTCCAAACTGTATACTTAAAATAACAAATCATAAGAGATTCATAACCTTAGTAGACAAAAGACAGAAAACAGGTTTTAGAACCATGCAAACTAGGATTCAAATCCCAGCTTTGTCCCTGACTGAATTAATCTTGGGACAACTTATTCTAAGTAACAATTTCACCTTGAAATAGAAATACTACTACCTAACATGAGGATTAGCTGTGAGGATTAGGTGATATAAAAAGTAATGGTAACTATTACTATTATTTATTTTACTAAATATCTCTTAAAAACAAAGTATTTCTTATATCTAAAATATAAGAAAAGCAAATTATGAAGGCAACATTACTAAGTAATATGAGTAGATATTCCCCAAGAAATATCTTAAGCTAAAATTTTAATCTGATTTTTCTTCATTATAGATGGTGCTGGATTCCTACAGCCCTGAGATTATTTCTATCTACAGTTTACGAGTTTTATCATTCTGTCTTCTTTGTAAATATTCCAGTGACAACCCTAATTGTGTTAAAGAATTTATCTGTAGAACATGTGCTACATCCATACTTTGAATAAATCTTAATATAAACTTATTTTTCTTAATGTCAGTTTAAATATATCAAGAATGTTAAGTAAATGTCATTCTTCAGGGAATTGCTCAAAATTTCTCAAGAGCTTCTATAAGCAGTTTCAATTTTAGAGAAATCCATTCTGTGCCAGGAAGAAACAATTTCTTCCTGCCAAAGAGTAAAGCAGAATCAGACTCATGTTGGAAGGTCATCCTATTTCTCATCTAACGACATGTCTTCCTTGTTAAGCACACGTCCCTTACCATATTCCCTAAAACCAGGATTTTATGAATTTTAGAAAATAAAGCTTGTATATATAAACCTTATAACTCTTTCAGAGGGGCTTGAGGCATCATCCTTAAATCATTCTAATGTTTCTCAGCAAAACTCATATTCACACTAATGGGAGGAAAAAGCCTTTCTTCTGTCCCTTAGGTATAGTGTAAGCCTAATAACCTTTTCCAAGTATCTAAAATTTTTTTTAATTTCAAAACTAAGAACACCCATGTCTCGATCCCCAATACCTCTTTACCTTCAGATGTCTCATCTGCAGTCCAAGGGGAATGAAGATGGAGCTGTGATAGCGCCTACCTAAGGTTGACAGGACTGGCTATCATGAAATTTCCCAATGGTATCTTAGGTAGAACAAGATCTGTGTCCACTGATCTGTGGACAAGATCTGTGTCCTCCCCTCCACTGTCTCTAAGACCACCTTATACACCAATAAACTTTCCTCTGGGATTTAAAATTTAACACTGGTTTTCAGAAACCAATTCTAATTCTTAATATTCCCTTCCTAACAAAAATTCTCAAAGACCTCCCTCTGTCACCACCTGATTTCAATTCTTCTCTAAATACCTATTTTTAATTATTTATGACAATGAGTTATAGTAGAATGAAATAAAAATAACAACTTACTAATAATCTGGACACATTTTAAATTCAAAATTTTTGATAAAAAGAATATATATAGGGGGCCTCCCCAGTGGCGCAGTGGGTTGAATGCCACACTGTGAGGCTGTCTGTAACCTCCGCAGTGCGGGTTCGATCCCGACAGGCTAGCGAGGGTTCCACAAGGCACGGCAGACCTCTCCTGTCTTGCCCACTGCTCCCCTCAGCAGTATTCTGTCATTTGCCTGTTCCGCTCTCTGCTTTGTCTCTGGTGAATCCTCTCACCCTCCCGCGCCGCTGGCCTGTGTTACCCCAGCTCTTGTATAAAACTAAAATAAATCTTAAAAAAAAAAAAAAAAAAGAATATAGGCTCTTGTACATTGATACTGATCTTTACTGACTACAACAGTGACTGAAACTTACTCATAAAACTGATGACTCAAGGCGAGAATACTTACATAAACTTTTCATTTTAGAAATAAACTTCAATAAGATCATATAATGCAAAATTCAAAGCAAATAATTTAAAATCAGATTAGACAATAGCAATGCTCCTCCTAAAGGAGTATTATGTGACAGGTACATCCTGCAGACTTCATAATATCAGTGGAGAAAAAGAACAAACAAGATCTAGATGGGCAGCAGAAGTTATGGCTGATCAGATTATGATTCCTCCTAGAACATGAGTTATTTAAGTTTGGTTAAAGCCATGCTTAAATATAATACAAAAAAAGATTATTTACATTTGTTTTGGCTGGAAAGCAGAAAATTCTGTGTTCCAGTCACATATTTACTCATTTTATTCTGATGTAATACCTTTTACAAACAAACTGCTTGGAACATAAACGAAATATTTCCCAAGTGAACTCCCCTGCCCCTTTCATAGTATGAATTTGGTGCTCTTGTCTTTATTCAGTACAAGCTCCTTTGTTAGCCTCTGGCGTACATGGAGATTGGAAGTTATAACGCAGGGCAGGCAGCCTCAGAGTCCTCACTCCAGTGTGCATCTCGTTTCTCTGTCACAATTTTGATGAATTGACAGTGACTGGCATAAAGCTTGAGTTTATCATTAATGTCCACCCATTTCACTTTTCCAGCATCATCTCCAGCTTCTAGGATAAGGTTATCCATTATCTCACCTGGTCACCAAAACAAAAACCACCAAAAAAGAAATTCATTTACTCAAGTAATTTATAACTGTAATTTCAAGCATTCTTACTAAAAATACTCTTAAATAATCATTCTATTAGGTGACAAGTGAATTAAATACTGCAATATTCCAGAATGCCCAAATTTTAACCAAGCTCCTAAATTTCAAGTAGAGGTACCACCCAGTAAAGAGAGCCAGTAAATAGATCAGCCATATGACCCAGCAATTCCACTCCTAAGTATCTACCCCAAAAATACAAAAACACTAATTAGAAATGGAACCTGCACCCCTACATTCATAGCAGCACTATTTACAATAGCCAAGATAAGAAAACAACGTAAGTGTCCAAAAATGGGTAAATGGATCAAAAAGATGTGGTATAGATACATGATGGAATATTACTCAGCAACGAAAAAGATACTCATTCCATTTGCAGCAACATGGATGGAGTTGGAAGAGATAATCCTAAATTAAATAAGTCAGAAGAAAAAAAATAAATACCACATAGTGTCACTAATATGCAGAATATAGAGAAACCAAACTAAGAACCATAAAAAGACAACCTTAAAAGTTAACCTGTGAAAAATGACTAAAGAACTGAAGCATCCGCAGAAGGTAGAGGGAATAGGAATAAAAAGGGAAGGAAAGGAGTAGGAATAAACAGGAAGGTAACACATTGGAGGTGGACTAAAGGTGATTTGGTGGCTGGTACCCATGGTGATGATACTTGATGGGGAAAATCCTAATGTTACCAAAATTAAAAGAATAAATTATTTAAAAAAAGAAAATTTTTCTTTTAAAAAGTAAGACTATTTTCCTTAAAAAAATAAAGCTCATTTCATGAGCTTTAAATTTTATGTCAAAATAAATTTAATAGGTATTAGAGATGGAAAAAGTGAAACATCATAATTATTGGTGAGTCATTTTATAATCTTAAAGTGAACTTCTCTAAGATGACATCAAACCCAATGCCATGAAATAAAATATTTATAATTATATTTATAACTATGTAAACATATTTATTGAAATATTCAGTTATAATTACTTAAAAATTTAAAATAAAGACTCTCAATCCTGTTGAGAATGTAAATGGCATTTTGTAGGACAATTTGGCAATGTTTATCAAGAGCTCTTGAAAGACAAATGCTCTTTATTGACCATTCATTTAAAAAAATCCAGATGCCTCTATGAACCATTCTGTAGGAGGCACTGAGGATACCATAAGCAATGCAGCAATTCCATTTCTGAGATTTTATCCTAAGGAAATAAACATATAAATCTGTTAAAGTACTCAAAGCAACACTATCTATAACCAAAAGGAAAAAATTGGACAACTAACCTCTCCATCTATAGGACTCAGATTAAGTGAGGGGACAATGACGTAATGGACGCTCATCTAGTCATTAAAGATGAAGATCTACACATGCTGTTATGAACAGATACCCATAATATATTTTTAAGTGAAACATCAAGAAACAAAAAAACATGTACTGTATAAGTCCATTTTTATTTTAAAAACAGCTAATCAAAGTCTAAAAGATAAACCAAAATGGTAACAGTTAAATCTTAAACTGTTAACCCAAATGCCCCAAAACAGATGACTGGATCAAGAAGATGTGGTATATCCACACAATGGAATATTATTCAGCATCCAAAAAAGATAAACTCATGCCATTCTCAGCAATGTGGATGGAGCTAGAAGGAATTATGCTCAGCGAAATAAGCCAGAAGGAAAAAGAAAAATATCGCATGGTTTCACTTATAGCAGGAATATAGGGGAACCAAATAAGACATCAGTGTAAAAAAATAATAACAGTACAAAACGCAACAAAGTAAAAACAGACAATTATAAATCAGAGATATACTGTAGGGGAGGAGGCGGGAGAGGGATCAGAGGGAGGGAGGAGCACAGGGGACTCAGGTGATGGTGCGCAGATGCATTGGTGAAGTAAACTCTATGGGGACTACGCCTGAGGGGGTGGGGGGAAGCAAATATTGTTTAAAAATGAACAATGATGTAAAAAAAATTAATTTAAGAATAAAATACTCCAGTAAAAAAAAGATCTTAAACTGTTAAATGTTAAGTCTTACAGTTAAATCTTAAGAGCGAAATGTTAAAACCTTCAAGAAATGAAAGAACTGTTTTATAAATGTTTTCCTCTTTAAATGATCTATTTTCTAAGTAACTTACTATGAATACATATTACCTTTACCTTTAATACATAGTTAACTTTATCATAAAATAATAAGGCTACTTTTTAAATGAAAAGAGTCAATTGAATATTTTAGCACACGGGTTTCTAAACCCCAATGCTAAATTGACAGCTCTCTCTGTAGTCTCACTGCAACTGTTACAGAGCAGCCCCGATAGAAAAATGGGCTGTCTGGCTGTGGGTCCTCACCTGCATGCTTAAAAGGGACTTATTAATACTCCACTACAGGGATACACAAAAGGTTAATAAAAGGTTTATTTACAAGGGAAAGGGAAATGAGGAAATGTACAACTCGGGGAGAAAATAGGGAAATAATGTCTTTAATGCGTCCTACCCTATCCAACGACCTGGAAATCCAAAGGAACTCCAAGAGCTGGCCAAGTGCTGCGAGCTGGCGGAGGGACAAAAAGGGAAACCCCCAAAGCCCACGTGTCTGGTTTTATACCAAACCTGGCTGCTTAACCCCACCCTCAGGTTCCAGCAACCTTCCCTTTGGTGGTGATGGGATTTGTCTTTCCCAGTGTCTTTTGGCTTTGGTCTGGAGTGGGGGTGGAGTCCACCAAGCCTGAATGGAATTAGCCTTAGGACATACTTTTCCCCCTAACACAACTACAACATCCAGTCACTAATGGAGAATCAGAATTAAAAAGTAAACATGATTATCTAAATAACATCTTCTAACAACATGTTCATCAAAACTAATAATGCCTGAAAAGTTCTCCTCTCACCCCACCCTCCATGATAACCTAATAAATTATACAAAACAAAATTCTAATAGGTTTAAAGAGGTCCAATACGATAGATATGTAAAGAGCTTGGACATCATCATCTCAATCCTCGCAAGAAAAATTCTGAACAAACTGAAATCTCTTCTCAGATCATCAAAGAACAAAGGTCACAAGGAACACTGCCACCCTGAACCCCTGGAGAGAGGCACAGAGTATTATCACTTGCTAGGTACAGAGACACCCACCACCAGAGCCAGCAAATGATAGGAACACTTAGACGGCAACTAAGTAATTTCTGGCAGGTCATCTGTGGACTAACTTGAGAGAGAAACTCCTGTGGAGTCCAGTCTTGGGCTGAAGGGACCACTTTTCACAAGCTTTACCTCCAGACATGCTACAAGGTTGTCAGGGTGAAGTCGGGGGAGGGGGTGTTCTCAGCTTGCTTCCAGCAGAAAAGGGGATAAGTAACCATTTTGAAATACATCCCAAAACATTCTGTCCTCAAGAAAAACTATTTTATCAAAACCTAACCAACCTGGGGGAAGGGAAGTAGCCCAACTCTAGCCTTCCTGTCTCACCTAAGGAGCACTAAAGTGGAGGGATAAGCTGAGGAGCAGTTGTGGGGATCAGAGGCCAGGAGCACAGGCTCACCTCAGAGCCTGAGACGGACTTACCGTCTCATTTCCTCCCCTCACACCTCAGCACACCAGCAGGGCTCCTAGACAACAACGGGGGGAATACAACCGAAAGAACTGAATGGCTCAGACCTTATTAAGAAGTCTCTAGGAAAACCCAAAGACAACAGACAGGACAAAAACAAGAACACTAAAAAAATTTTTAGACTCACAGCCAGACTTCTAATCACACCAAAGACCTGTTTGCTTCAGTTCCTTCTACTGAATATATCATTTTCAACTTTTAAACTACAAAAACAATAAACAAAAAACAAGAAAAAAACCCTCTAAGGCATGCAAAAAGGCAAAAAGCACAGTTCGTAGAGATATAGCAAGTATCAAATCCAGACTCAGATATGGTGTACATTTCAGTTACCAGACCAGAAAACTATTTTTTAATTTAAAGAAAGAAAGGATGAAAACAAGTCATAAACTGTATTATCAACCTCTAGAGGATCAGTCATTGTTTTTAACTCCATAAACAAAAAAAGTAATGAAATTTATCAGTACTTAAGTCATATGGACCCACTCCCTAAGTTTCATCTGCATATTTCTCCCTCTGACATATTTCTTCTAACTCCTCAATACAAGGTGAACTCTTCTAATACTTTGCTGAAGAATGGTTGTGTAAGATAGTGTTTGCTTCAGCAGCACATATACTAAAATTGGAACGATACAAAGAAGATTAGCATGGCCCCTGTGCAAGGATGACACGCAAATTCGTGAAGCGTTCCATATTTTTTATGATAATATACATAGAGAACCCCAAAAACTCCACAGAAAAACTAATTCAACTCATCAATCAGTTCAGTAAAGTGGCAGGATACAAAATCAACACGCAAAAGTCAGTAGCCTTCCTATACACAAACAATAAATCTGAAGAAGAAGAAATCAAAAAAACCATCCCTTTTATTATTGAAACAAAAAAAATCAAATATTTGGGAATAAATCTAACAAAAGAGGTAAAGGACCTATACAAAGAAAACTATAAAACACTGTTAAAAGAAATAGAAGACACAAAGAAATGGAAAGACATCCCCTGCTCATGGATTGGGAGAATAAACATTATTAAAATGGCCATCCTACCAAAAGCAATATACAGATTCAATGCTATTCCAATCAAAATTTCAATGTCATTCTTCAAAGAAATAGAACAATTATTGATGAAATTCATATGGAATCACAAAAAACCCCGAATAGCCAAAGCTCTCCTGAAAAAAAAAGAAGGGAATGGAGGCATCACACTCCCAGACTTCAAACTCTACTACAAAGCCATAATCATCAAAACTGCATGGTATTGGAACAAGAACAGACATACAGACCAATGGAATCGAATAGAAAATCCAGAAATAAACCCACAGATTTATGGTCAACTAATCTTTGACAAAGGAGCAAAGACTATGCATTGGAGCAAAGAAAGTTTGTTCAATAAATGGTGCTGGGAAAACTGGGTTGCTACATGCAAAAGAATGAAGCTTGACCACTACCTCACACCATACACAAAAATCAACCCAAAATGGATTAAAGAACTAGACATAAGACCTGAAACCATAAAATACATAGAAGGAAATATAGGCGAAACACTACGTGATTTGCACATCAAAGACATCTTTACAGACACATCACCCAAAGCAGTGATAGTGAAGGCAAAGATAAACAGCTGGGACTACATCAAATTAAAGAGCTTCTGCACAGCAAAAGAGACAATAACAAAAACAAAGAGAAACCCCACCAACTGGGAGAACATTTTTGCACCCAACACTAATGATAAAGGACTGATCACAAAAATCTGCAAAGAGCTGATGAGACTCAACAACAACAAAGAAAATAATCCAGTCAAAAAATGGGCAGAAGAGCTAAAAAGAAACTTCTCTGAAGAGGAAATGTGAATGGCCAACAGGCATATGAAAAAATGTTCAACATCACTTGCAATCAGGGAAATGCAAATCAAAACTACCATGAGATACCATCTTACACCAGTGAGAATGGCACATATTAAAAAAACGAGCAACAACAAATGTTGGCGAGGGTGTGGAGAAAAAGGAACTCTTCTGCACTGTTGGTGGGAGTGCAGACTGGTCCAACCACTATGGAGAGCTGTGTGGAGATTTCTGGACCTACTAAACATAGAGCTTCCATAGGATCCAGCAATTCCACTCCTAGGTATTTACCCAAAGGACACAGAAACACCAATTCCAAAGAACACCTGCACCCCTATGTTTATAGCAGCACTATTTACAATAGCTAAGCTTTGGAAACAGCCCAAATGCCCAAAAATAGATGACTGGATCAAGAAGATGTGGTACATATATACCATGGAATATTACTCAGCATTCAAAAAAGATAAACACATGCAATTTGCAGCAACATGGATGGCGCTGGAAGGGATCATGCTCAGCAAAATAAGCCAAAAAGAAAAAGAAAAATACCGGAGGGTCTCACTCATAGCAGGAATCTAGAAAACTTAAATAAGGGACCAGGAAAATGAATAACTATAAGAAAGTGAAAATCAAAATCACCAAAAAACTATGAACCAGAGACACTTTTTGGGGGTGGGGGGCGGGAGGGGAGGGATTGGGGTCAGAATGGGGGGGTTGCAATTGTATGGGGAATATAAAAATAAAATTTATTATTAAAAAAATAAAATAAAAAATAAAAACTTAAAAAAAAAAAAGAATGGTTGTGTAAGATAAATACCAGATGGTCTCACTTATATGTGGAATATAGAGAAACTAAACAAAAGGTTAAGAAAAAGTCAAAACTAGCAGCTGACCATAGAACTGAGGCACATAGCAAAGGAGGAGAAGGAAGGGGGGTTACAAAACAGGTGAGGAATAAAGTCAAGGGACTACAGTGATGATGGTTCACAGTGGCGGGATAACTATAGGGACAACAATGTAAGAAAAAAAATTTTAATTAATAAAAAATAAAAAAGAGTCACTAACACTAACAGTACATTTCATTCTCTGATATGGTACCTTGTCTCATTATGATACAGATGAAACAAAGTATTTAAAACCTCATCCAGCAATATGTTTCAAGAGAAGTTATTCAATGTATAATGATCATAATTAACTTTTTTTTTTTTTAAAGATTTATTTATTTATTTATACGTGCACCGGGTACAGTCAGAAGCGCGGGAGGGTGAGAGAATTCACCAGAGCCAGAGCGGGGAGCAGAGCAGGCAGAAGGACCGAAGTACACTGCTGCGGGGAGCAGCGGGCGGCAGGAGAGGTCTGCGCGCCATGTGGGACCCTTCTCCGGTGGCCGGGGAGCAGCCGGGGATCGAACCGGCGCCGCAGAGGCTGCGGGCAGCTTCGCAACCCAGCGCTCAACTGCTCTGCCACTGGGGAGGCCCCATAATTAACTTTTAAGATAGATTTTTCCCTCTCATAATAACAATTTGATTTTCCCAAAAATTTTTAAATCTACAGATAAGGGCCTTACTGATGGCACAGGGGTTAAAGTCTCAGCCCTATTAAGCTATCGCCAGCCACTGCCCTGTGAGTTCAATCTCGGCCAGGGAGCTTCCACATGGCACAGCAGACCTCTCCTGTCTTGCCCACTGCTCCTCTCAGCAGTGTATTTCAGTCAGTCTCCCTGTTCTGCTCACCACTCTGTCTCTGATGAATCCCCTCACCCCCACATCTCTGAGCTACACCCCAATTCTTGTATGCATAAATAAAAATAAATCTTAAAAAAATAAAGTATATCCAGATTTTAAAAAAAACATTCATTTAAAATGTTCTGAATAGTTGTAATTTTTTGGTATTGCTTTGTGTTTTAATTATACAAGCTTATTATAAAAATACTTCAAACAATGAGACAAATATATATCCCATTTCCTTTATTATGGTCATACTTCCTACCAAATCACCAGTTGCTTTTGCTTTTGTTTTATACAAATGAACCATACAGTACAATTTGGTAATTTGTTATTTATTTATTTTTTTTATTTATACAAGCACTGGGTACAGTCAGAAGCACGGGAGGATGAGAGAATTCACCAGAACCAGAGCAGAGAGCAGAACAGGCAGACTGACAAAGTACACTGCTGAGGGGAGCAGGGGGTGCAGCAGGAGAGGTCTGCATGCCATGTGGCACCCTCACGGGTGGCCAGGGATTGAACCGGTGCTGCAGAGGCTGTGGGCAGCTTTGCAGGCTAGCGCTCAACCACTGCGCCACGGGGGAGGCCCAATTTGGCAATTTTAAGGTACATAATTTTCATCAATGAATTCAATCTTAACTGTAGATGCTGCCGATGGAGTAAAGGAAATTACTAACTGGTAACACTTTGCCTTCTTCTATGTTTTTCCAAAACTAACAGCTTTGGTTTCATAATCAACAACTTATGGGCTTAAGATGATAAAACAGTCCAGACTTAATTATGCGCTAGCAGGCTGCTTGATTTATATTATTCCTCTAATCCAGTCAATAAATAAAAGTGTAAATACCTGTTTCGTCATGATAGTTGACAGCTTCTGTCTCTATCCAAGCATTATCAGTGTTTCGAGGATCATCAACATATCCCTTATATATCTATTTTTAAAGGAATACAAATAAAAAAGTCTTGGGTGAAACAAGAATGAGTAGAGCAGAGTCACATTATCTTCTTCATAATCATAAATGTAAATATGTTGTCAAAAAACATGCATAAAAATAGCATTACTGAACTGTACAATTAAAAATGGTTAAAACAGGGCCTCCCCGGTGGTGCAGCGGTTGAGCGCTGGCTTGCGAAGCTGCCTGCAGCCTCTGCAGCGCTGGTTTGATCCCCAGCTGCATCCCGGCCACCGGAGGAGGGTCCCGCATGGCACGCAGACCTCTCCTGCCACCCGCTGCTCCCCTCAGCAGTGTACTTCGGTCCTTCTGCCTGCTCTGCTCCCTGCTCTGGCTCTGGTGAATCCTCTCACCCTCCCACGCTTCTGACTGTACCCAGTGCTTGTATAAACAAAACAAACAAATAAATAAATAAATAAAAAACATGCCTCTATAAAAAAAAAAAAAATTTTTAAAAATTTAAAAATGGTTAAAACAATAAATTACATATTAAGCATTCGTTGACCATGTTTTTTTAACTATAAATATCACAGAAGTTTTAATGTAGCATTCCATATGCTTATTTAAAATTTCCCAAGGAACAATATTCTCAAGAACATTTTGGGGCCATTTTAAAATTCACAAAACCCTCAAAATCAGGGCCTCCCCTGGTGGTGCAGCAGTTGAGCGCTGGGCTGCGATGCTGCCCACAGCCTCTGCAGCGCTGGTTCGATCCCCGGCCGCTGGCAAGCGTCCCACATGGCGCAGCAGACCTCTCCTGCTATGCCTGCTGCTCCCCTCAGCAGTGTATTTCGTCGGTCTGCCTGTTCTGTTCCCCGCTCTGGCTCTGGTGAATTCTCTCACCCTCCCGCGCTTCTGACTATACCCAGTGCTTGTATAAATAAATAAATCTTTTGGGGGGGGGAGAACCTCAAAATCATAAACTCTAATTTCAAAATTCAAGCACAGTTATACCAAGGACACATAATTTTTTTAAAGGTGTATGATTGAAGCATTTTTCTGTTTTAATAATTTAATAATTATGTTTTAATAATTTCTGTGGTAATAGTTTCAGAAATACAAAGACAGATCCATTTTTAAAAAGGCAAACTATAAGTGAAGTTAGTAAAGCTCAAATTTAAGATATTACTACATGAAAAGATTTCATCTAGCCACCTAAACAAATGTGGCTGAAAAAAATTAAGCTAATAATTTAAAAAAGTCTCACTTCTGGAAAGAAAACAATAAAAGCAATCCGAACCAAAAACTAACAAAAGAGAAAAGAAAATCTGTCCTTTTCCTTATTGGTGTACATATGCCTCACAAGGTTTTTTGTTTTTAATCACAAAGATTATGTAAACAAAACAGACAGACTTAAATGATTGTCAGCCAGAAAAACTCTAACACAATTATGTAAATTCCTTTCAAAAAAGCTGAATTTATGCCAAATTTTAAAAAAGATTCTCTGTTAGAAGGGTAAACTCAGTGCCACATTAGCTCATACCTGGTAAAGAAAAATCTAAGAGGAAAATATGTATTAAAATAAATGATATAAATGACCTAAAGTTAAGCTACAAAATTTAAGTAGAATTCTATTTACAGTGAAAATCTATTCTGTTGTTTTGTTTTTATTAATATGTATTTTAAATATATATATTTCATTTTATGTGAAAAATAATCTACCAGATTTTCAGATGAACTTTAAGTAATTTTTATTAACCACAGGACCAAAATCCAAACCATCATTTCTTACCACTAGATGTTCCTGGCTGAAGAGTTTGTGCAACTGCTCCTCTAATTCTTTCTTTTCAGCACAGGATTTTTGTAAAGAGTTGAAGCCTTCTTCAGCAAATTCTCTTTTCAATGTAGCACTCATCTTTTCTCCTGGATCCACCATCCCCTGAGATTCACATTTTTTAAGTAATAAGCCATTAATCCATTCACTAAACATTTAATCAATGATGCAACAGACATTCATTATTCTATTTCCACAATTCATCATTTGTGTCTAGTAGAAAGAGCCTTTAGGATACCTCAGTTATTTGACCACATTATTGGTGCAAGGTCAACCTTATGGCAAATTAAGTCAATCACGCATTTCCTGGTATTTTCCAAACTCAAGAAAAGTAAGGAGGCAAGAAAAAAATATATAGCATGTTAACACTTTCCCCAATGTTGATCCCATTCCAGCCACACTAACCTCCTCAAACTTCCTACGATGGCTCTTTGTACCTGCTATTCTCTCTGCCCAAGATGTTCTTCTCCAAATGTCAACATGGTTCATTCATTTCTTACAGATATTTACTCACAAGTCACTTTCTCAGGCAGTACTGGTCTAACAATCCAAACTCCCATACTTCCTAATCTCCCACCATGCTTTAATTTTTTTCTTAATACGTTATTTTCTAACATACAATAACTAATTTGTCTTGTATTATCTGCATCCCCCACTAGAACGTGAGCACCAAGAGGAAAAGGGATACTTATTTATGTTGCTTTTTTGTACCCTGCATGTCTAAATTATTAGTGGGGAAAAAAGACAGATATTCAAAATATATTGATTAGAAGAATGGTTCTCAAAATGACATCAGTAACATACAGTTCCTGACTGGTTAGAATTTCAAATGAGAATAAAAATATAAGATCCTGTGATGAAATCATTACTGGTTTTTTGCACTTAGCATTAGGGAAGTTTAACTGTTTGGCTTGTAGAAATTACCCAAAGTTTTTATTATAGTCAGTTGAGATCTTTATCTCTATTCCATTTTTACCCTACAACAACAAAAAAACCAGTTCTTGCAGATAGTAAGTATTATGCATATAGAATCATCCTCCCATCAAACTATCTCTACTTCACAATATGGCATGAAATAGAAAACCCTCTGCCATAGATACACACACTTTAAAAAGCCACTTCAAACATACCATTGAGATGAACTCAATAAAAGTACTCTCTTCCTGATGCTATCACAGAAATTTTAAAAACTGCAAACTACAGTAAATAATAAAAGTTACCTTTTCTATTATGTCCACAGTTACCACCCTTCAACCAAAAAAAAAAAAATGCTAAAAATCTATCTTTGGGCTTGAAATAGGGACTGAATTCTCAGATAGGCCAAAACATTTTTTTACTTTACACTGGGTGCTTTATACATGCTCGCTAGTGATCTTCTAAAGTAGATATTGTCTTTATTTTAAAATGACGGTCTAATTTCATATTACTCAGCTCAAAGAGGAAAGGCCAGGACACAAACCAGGTCTAATGCCAAAGTCCATGTTCTTTCCTAAGGGTACTTTCCTCTGGTCTATTTTAGAAATAGACTAGATTCTCAGTCTTATTGTATTATCTTATACCTCTAATTTATAGTGACACTTAGTTGCAATGATGAATGACAGAAAAATTACAAATTGAAGTGGGAGGAAAATGGAGGATAAATGGGGTAGAAAAGATTCACACACAATAACCTTGTATTAAACAAAGCAACTAAAAATAGAACTTAAAATGTTAATTTAATTTTAATACTTACCCCAGGGATTGCCCATTCTCCACAGTCTTTCCTTTCTATAGCAACAAACTGTAAGATGTTTTTCCCAGAAATAGGGTGGGTTATTTTATTTCCACAGCTATCCCTTTTCCACCTACAAATAAATATTAAAGTGTGAATAATAATTTAAGATCACAACCTACCTAGAACAAAAACCAACATTCTATCTCAAACTTGAGAGTTATAAAGATGCATTTTTATAACAAATTATATATGTACATATATTTCAAATAAGCTAACTTTATAAAAAATGTTTTAATTAGAAATATTCTATATTTAGGACTATTACAAACTCAGACAAATATCTACTTTTTCATAAAGGATATTGTATTCTCCACTATGAAAATTCAGAATGTAAATAGTTTTTACTACTTAATTTGTAAAAAGAAGTTTAAAAGCAGAACAGAATTTAAAGGAAAGGCCGTAAGAGTTTAAAAAAAAGTCCAAGGATCCTTTTTAAGAATTACAGATAGGGTGGCTCAAGGGGTTGAGAAGCGGCACTATGAAGCTATCCACAGCCACCGCAGCACGAGTTTGATCCCCGGCCAGGGAGGTGACCCAATGACACAGCAGACCTCTCCAGCTCGCCCGCTGCCCCCCTCAGCAGTGCATTTCAATCTGCCTGTTTTGTTCCCCACTCTGTCTCTGGTGAATCCTCTCACCTGCCATGCCTCTGCCCTGTACCCCTGTTCTAAAAAAAAAAAAAAAAGAATTACAGAGAGTATAAAAAGATCTTGTAATATGGGCTTTTATAGTTCACGCTGCATTATCAAAAAAATTATTTAAAAAAAAAAAGATTATATATGTTCAAATGCTCTGATCTCAAAAGTAGTACTTTTCAACCTTTATGCCCTTTTTTTGATGAAAAGTAACTGTAATTTTATATTTTTGAATTGAATTGTGCATATATACATTTTTTTTTCTTTTTCTTTTTAAGCAACAATGCATTCTTATTAAGGATGAGCTTTTTCTAACCAGTTAATCAGACGTTGATAAATGTCCCCTTCCACTTCCCTACCACCGGCACATCCATCTCCCCCACTTAATTCTAAGAATTGTTCTAATAGTCTCTTAGGCAAAAACAAAGATTTTGAATTTATTTTTTTTAAAGATTTATTTATTTATGTATACAAGAACTGGGGTACAGGCCAGAGATATGGGGGGGTGGTGAGAGGATTCACCAGAGAGAGTGGGGAACAGAACAGGCAGATCAACTGAAATTCACTGCTGAGGGGCCCAGCGGTCAAGCCAGGAGAGGTCTGCTGCACCATGTGGGTAGCTCCCTGACTGGCTGGGGTTCGAACAGCTGTGGCTGCGGATAACTCCATAGGTTGCATCTTAGCCCTTTGCACCACCAGGGAAGCCCGAGTTTGAATTTCTAACACTAAACCCAAAAAGAAAGTCTGAGCTAATCATCAGTATGCATGAAACTCAATGAAATATACTAGTTTAGATGTGAGTTTCCAAATTTCTTTATATAGTGGCTGACTACCATATCCAATGTCTAATTCCTCCTCTGAAAGAGCTAATAGTCTAGCAGTGGAGCTAGACATGAGTGAATAAACTGTGATACATAAGAAATCTCTAGAGAGGTATCCGGAGATTCTGAACATTTGTGAAATTCACTTACAATGCTACTTTGAACCAGAAAGTACTTGAAAGAAAAGGAGATGGAATTCTATGACAAGCCAACAGCCAGTATCATTCTCAATGGTGAAAAGCTGAAAGCAATTCCATTAAGATATGGAACAAGACAAGGATGTCCACTCTCACCACTGCTTTTCAATATAATACTGGAAGTCCTAGCCAGAGCAATAAGACAAGAGAAAGACATACAAGGAATCCAAATAGGAAAAGAAGAAGTCAAACTATCACTATTTGCAGATGATATGATAATATACATAGAAAACCCTAAAAACTCCACAGAAAAACTAATTCAATTCATCAATCAATTCAGTAAAGTGGCAGGATACAAAATCAACACGCAAAAATCAGTAGCCTTCCTATACACAAATAATAAATCTGAAGAAGAAGAAATCAAAAAAAAAATCCCTTTTAGTATCAAAACAAAAAAAATCAAATATTTGGGAATAAATCTAACAAAAGAGGTAAAGGACCTATACAAAGAAAACTATAAAACACTGTTAAAAGAAATAGAAGAAGACACAAAGAAATGGAAAGACATCCCCTGCTCATGGATTGGGAGAATAAACATTATTAAAATGGCCATCCTACCAAAAGCAATATACAGATTCAATGCTATTCCAATCAAAATTTCAATGTCATTCTTCAAAGAAATAGAACAATTATTGATGAAATTCATATGGAATCACAAAAAACCCCGAATAGCCAAAGCTCTCCTGAAAAAAAAAGAAGGGAATGGAGGCATCACACTCCCAGACTTCAAACTCTACTACAAAGCCATAATCATCAAAACTGCATGGTATTGGAACAAGAACAGACATACAGACCAATGGAATCGAATAGAAAATCCAGAAATAAACCCACAGATTTATGGTCAACTAATCTTTGACAAAGGAGCAAAGACTATGCATTGGAGCAAAGAAAGTTTGTTCAATAAATGGTGCTGGGAAAACTGGGTTGCTACATGCAAAAGAATGAAGCTTGACCACTACCTCACACCATACACAAAAATCAACCCAAAATGGATTAAAGAACTAGACATAAGACCTGAAACCATAAAATACATAGAAGGAAATATAGGCGAAACACTACGTGATTTGCACATCAAAGACATCTTTACAGACACATCACCCAAAGCAGTGATAGTGAAGGCAAAGATAAACAGCTGGGACTACATCAAATTAAAGAGCTTCTGCACAGCAAAAGAGACAATAACAAAAACAAAGAGAAACCCCACCAACTGGGAGAACATTTTTGCACCCAACACTAATGATAAAGGACTGATCACAAAAATCTGCAAAGAGCTGATGAGACTCAACAACAACAAAGAAAATAATCCAGTCAAAAAATGGGCAGAAGAGCTAAAAAGAAACTTCTCTGAAGAGGAAATGTGAATGGCCAACAGGCATATGAAAAAATGTTCAACATCACTTGCAATCAGGGAAATGCAAATCAAAACTACCATGAGATACCATCTTACACCAGTGAGAATGGCACATATTAAAAAAACTAGCAACAGCAAATGTTGGCGAGGTTGTGGAGAAAAAGGAACTCTTCTACACTGTTGGTGGGAGTGCAAACTGGTCCAACCACTATGGAGAGCTGTGTGGAGATTTCTGGACCTACTAAACATAGAGCTTCCATATGATCCAGCAATTCCACTCCTAGGTATCTACCCAAAGGACACAGAAACATCAATTCCAAAGAACACCTGCACCCCTATGTTTATAGCAGCACTGTTTACAATAGCTAAGCTTTGGAAACAGCCCAAATGCCCAAAAATAGATGACTGGATCAAGAAGATGTGGTACATATATACCATGGAATATTACTCAGCATTCAAAAAAGATAAACACATACAATTTGCAGCAACATGGATGGCGCTGGAAGGAATCATGCTCAGCGAAATAAGCCAAAAAGAAAAAGAAAAATACCGGAGGGTCTCACTCATATCAGGTATCTAGAAAACTTAAATAAGGGACCAGGAAAATGAATAACTATAAGAAAGTGAATCAAAATCAACAAAAAACTATGAACCAGAGACACTTTTTGGGGGGTGGAGGGTGGGACGGGAGGGATTGGGGTCAGAATGGGGGGTTTGCAATTGTATGGGGCAATATAAAAATAATAAATAAATAAATAAATAAAAATTAACAATTTTCTATAAAAAAAAAAAGAAAAGGAGATGGAATCTTAGCTTTAAAAGTATCTAGGTGATTCTTATGATTACTCATTAGTGAAATACTGGTATAAAAGAGAAACAGTATTTGAAACCAAATATCCTGATTCAAATTTCAGATCTACAAGCTACAGGCAAGTCACTCATTAGTTATTACCTGCATTACTGAGATAGCAAAGAACATCAGCCCAAGAATAAAGTCAAAAGCTAGACTCTGCCCCTGTGGGGTTTTTTTGTAGCCTTGGATCACTGCTAATCTTTGTTACCTCATTTGTAAAATAATCAAGTTAAGCTCAAAAACTCTACCATTTCAAAACAACTTGACAAACAGTCACAATGTATACTCCCAGTAACTACTTGGTCCACCATAAAGGCACATTAATTAGAGGCTAACTCTGGCCTCCCTTTTCTACTTCTTGTAGAAGTATTATATTTCTGCTTATTTTATTTCTTCTAGCATTATAATTCTGCATCAGAAGTTTCAACCTTCCTGTTTTTAAACAGTCTTGCCAAAATTTGAAAGAAAATGACATTAATTTGATTTCATTTATGAGCATCAATAAGAATATATTATTCTTCCCATCCCATTTAAACTATAAAGTGTCTAAATGAATTTTAGGTGGGTGGGTGTACATAAATGGATGAGTTAGATGGGTGGATAGGTAGGATGGTGAGGTGATGGATGTGTAGATGAATGGATGGATGAGTGGATGGACAGTTGGTTGAAAGATAAACTTTATGATGGGATAAAGATCCCTTCTGATATGTAACTGAAAGGGCAAGATAATAACATGGGGCAAATATTGGACCCTCTTCTAAAAACCTGAAAACAGTGTTAAACTAAAATCATTATACCTCAGAGAAAAACAAGGTCCTGAAACTATCAAATAAAAAAGTAAGAATATTTAGTGTATTTGCCTTGCTTAAAGAATGAAAGTGATGATTACATGTGAGGAGAAAGTTCATAAGTGAAGAAATACTAAAAGTAAACACAATTAAAAGCATGGCAGAGATGACAGGATATTTCAGATGTGTTGAAAAGACGAAATGGGGCCTCCCCTGGTGGCTCAGCGGTTGAGCACTGGGCTGGGAAGCCTCTGCAGCATCGGTTCAATCCCCGGCCGCCAACGAGGATCCCACATGGCGCGACAGACCTCTCCTGCCGCGCCCGCTGCTCCCCTCAGCAGTGTATTTCGTCAGTCTGCCTATCTGTTCCCTGATCTGTCTGTAATTCTCTCACCCTCCAGCGCTTCTGACTGTACCCAGTGCTTAAATAAATAAATAAATCCTTAAAAATAAAAAAAAAAAAGAACTTGCTTATTTTTTATAAAAAAGAAAAGACGAAATGGAGATGGCCAAATCCATCTAAATATTAGAATCACCTATTGTCTTTCTTCTGATTCATTCTCACTAAGAGACATTTTGAATATGATTTGGCTTACCAACTTGGTCTGACTCAGGGAAAAAAATGCCTTTCTTCAAGTGAAACTCAAAATCAACAAAAAACTATGAACCAGAGACACTCTATGAGGGGTGAGAGTTGGGGAGGGGAGGGATTGGGGTCAAAATAAGGGGGTTGCAATTGTATGGGGAATATAAAAATACAATTTATTTTTAAAAAAAAAAATACCTTTCTTCTGTCATGAAACCTTTAACAGTTCACACTCCTTACCTTTGGCATTGAATATTCTCCACAACAGAACTGCACAAAAATTATGTTTAATTTATCATCCACTATTCTCCTACAAGAATCTTACATTTCAATTAAGCTGGCATTTTCATTTCTCAATATTTCAATAAGGATTACTCAAACAGATAAAAGATTTTTTCTTAGGCCTCCTCCTGTCCCCAGCTAAGCTTCAAATTCAGCTGGAATGCATTATCACTCTCCACATTCAATCTTCCAATTTTCTAAAGCATCCTGTATCACCAATGTTACTTTGACATGTTTTCTTATTTCATATTTTCCATCTTGCAAATAAGCCATAGCTCTTCAGTGACAGGAAGCTAAAACTTACACTTTAAATCCTGTAAACTACCTATTCAATAAATACCTGGTGAATTAGCTTTATTTATAAAATGCCTGCCTCAAGGGCCTCCCCGGTGGTGCAGCGGTTGAGCGCTGGGTTGCGAAGCTGCGCGGCCTCTGCGGTGCCGGTTCGATCCCCGGCTGCTCCCCGGCCACCGGAGGAGGATCCCACATGGTGCGCAGACCTCTCCTGCCGCCCACTGCTCCCCTCAGCAGTGTACTTCAGTCTTTCTGCCTGCTCTGCTCCCCACTCTGGCTCTGGTGAATTCTCTCACCCTCCCACGCTTCTGACTGTACCCAGTGCATATATAAACAAAACAAACAAACAAATAAAATAAATAAATAAAAACATGCCTCTATTAAAAAAAAAAAAAAATTAAAAAAAAAAAGCCTGCCTCAACCAAATTAATACTATAGCTTTATACTTATATCACATCACCATAATTTCACATAAAATTACTGTTAAGTACAAAACACAACAAAGCAAAAACAGACAATTATAAATCAGAGACATCCTGCAGGGGAGGAGGAGAGAGAGGGATCAGAGCGAGGGAGGGAGGAGCACAGGGGACTGAGGTGATGGTGCACAGGAACACTGGTGAAGGAAATTCTATGGGGACTACACTTGAGGAGGTGGGGGGAAGCAAATATTGTTTAAAAATGAACAATGATGTAAAAAATAAAAAAATAAAGTACTGTTAAAGTGTGGATTTCATGTCTATGTGTGTATACACACACACATAGATACACGTTTATGTGTGCGTGTTTATATACAAACATACACCTGTGGTTTATACATACATATACATGTGTGCATACATGTGTGCAAATACATATATATAAACATATGGTTATAGTTTGTATTTTTCCAATCACTTTAGCTTTTTGCTACTAAGGGTTTTTTTGGTTCTCACCTGGTTATGATGGGATCTGCAGCATGATTTGGGCCCCACCGCCCCAAAAGCCCTCGGCCAGCTAGTCCTGTCCGTCCTACAGGATTTCTGGAGGAAAAAACAAAACATAAAATCAGTTGAATGTGTTCATCTGTTTAAACTGACTTGATAAAGACTAAAAAACTGTCATAAGAGCTGTAAGAGAAATATCACCTCACAAACCCAGTAGCACTATTACATACATGGCACTAAAACCACTTATTTCCTTATATGTACTGTTGCATAACTTTTCTTTTGTACATGTCTTAAGCTTTGAACTTAATCTAAGAGGAGGTTCTCATTTCCAAAGTTGTTCTATAATTTGAGTTTTCACCTATACTTCTAAATTTGAATTTGAACCTTACTGGACTATTTAAGCTGGGAGAATGAAACATGCCACACCTAATTACCATCACTCTTTACAACAGTGATGATTTTTCATTCATGATACCCACACTTCTCTTCACTTTCTCATCACCCTTATATCCGAATCCATTCTCCTTTAACCCTTCCCATTAAAATATGTGGTTACAAGAGAGTATGGTGATGGATATGGTGGCAGGAGAACTACGGGGACTACAATAACTTAAGAAAAAATAACTAATGGAAGAAAAATATTTTGTTTCATTTTAAAGTCCATTTTTTTTCCTCAGTGGGTTTTGGATTTTAGACATCAGTTTTATACATGTATAGTTAGTTATTAGTATTAGTAAATATTTCCAGATTACAAGTATACCTTTCCCCTCCGGATACCTCAATTCTCTCTTTGTTTGGTTTCTATATATCCCATATATATAAGTGACACAACCTGTTATTTATCTTTCTCTCTCTGACTTTACTTAGCATAAACCTTTCTGTTTACATTCATGTTGATGCAAATGGCAAGAGTTTATCTGTTTTGATCACTTGGCAGTATTCCATTAGGAGCATATACCACACCTTTTTGATCTACTCATGTGCTGTGAACACTTAGGTTGTTTACATAGCTTTGCCATTGTAACTAGAACTGCAATAAACTTACTAACAATATGCAAATTATTTACATTCTCTCTCCTTACTTGCAAAATGGAACTAAAATTAACCCCCAACAAGTATAGTGACAATTTAATTAGATCACACATATAAATTCTTTCACAATGTCTGGCACATATAAGCACTCAATAAATGTTACTTATATTTTCTATCTTTTGAAGACCCATCATTGTAAAATGTTCCATTACGAGTACCTACTTAGGTTTTCCACCTTCAATCTCATACGGGCCAGCCTGGCTCTTTCTTTCAACATTTCCATCCTTGTCATTAAACTTGGGAGAAAAGTTACTTTCACTGCAATGAGAACACCAATGCAAAATAAGAAATGATACAATACCAACAAAAATTTAAAATTGCCAATCTGTTATTCATAATAATAACCATGAAACTATATTTTTTCAGGATTAATTTTTTATTTACAAATCCATCGTACTATTTCAAAGTAGTTTCTGAGAGAAAAATTTTTTCATCAAAATACCTTAAATACCAAAATACCGTAAATATGTATTAATACTAGACTTCCTCTGGGAATTCCTTCCCCTGGAAAAACTAATGGCAGAACAACTACAATTCCCCTCACATGCCACAAAAAAAAAAGTTTACATTACTGATAGCATAGAAAATTTATCTCACCATGCTGGTTGACCAGGGCTCCCTGACCTGTAGTCTGGAAAAAATTATTGAAAAATATTTTCACTACTTTCTATTGATGATTCAAAGAGAATAAATGAAAATAGATACCACAAATTGTCAATTTATAAAACAAAAAACTCCACAGCAAAATAGATTTACCTATCGGGAGAATCACCATAAAACCCCCAAAGGAGTAAACAAATATGACTGTTGTTCTTGGGCAAGCATTTAAACAAACATGGAAACTAAATTATAATAAAGTTAAGCATGAATAAAAATAGTTTCTCAGCTGTCAAATAATAATTTACAAACTTCTCAGCTGTCAAATTGTTACAGAAAGGATCTCTATAACAAGGGGAGGTTTGGTGGCACAAGGGGTTAAGTTTCAGTGCTGTGAAGCTATCTGCAGCCACTATGGCACAAGATCAATCCCCAATCAGGGAGCTAGGCCACTTGGCACAGTAGACCTCACCTGTCTTGCCTGCTACCCCCCATATGCAGTGTGTTTCCGTCAGTCTGCCTGTTCTGTTCCCCACTCTGTCTCTGGTGAATCCTCTTACACCACACACAGCACCCCCCCCCCACCTCTGGCCTACACCCCAGCTCTTGTATGCATAAATATTTATTTATTTATTAAAGATTTATTTATTTATGCATACAAGAGCTGGGGTATAGGCCAGAGATGGGGGGGGGGGGATTCACCAGAGACAGAGTGAGGAACAGAACAGGCAGACTGACGGAAACACACTGCTGAGGGGAGCAGTGGGCAAGACAGGAGAGGTCTGCTTCGCCATGTGGGTTTCTCTCTGGCCGTTTGGGGATCAAACTCATGCTGCAAAGGCTGTGGGCTGCTTCATAGTGCACTGCTTAACCCCTTGCGCCACCAGGGAGGCCCATAAATAAATAAATCTTTAAAAAAAAACAACAAGGGGATGGTTCCAGGTTCCCTACCCACCATTATAATGAAGGGAAGTGCTGAAGGGAAAGGGAAGTTAGAGAAAACTTAAGAGAAGGCATGTGAAGAAAGACATGTGAAGGAGGATACACTTGCTTCTCGGGTCTGGACCCATACCCGGGACTTGGGGGGTTTAGGAGGAGATGCGTGGAGTCAAGATACATAAAGACAGTTGGAAGGGACATGTGGTAAGAGACCCGTATGGAGGCTGACAATGGCAGCCGTTACATTGATTTGTACTTTGATTTTGCTCCTTTAGTTTCAGACTTGCCTGGCCCCTTCTGTCCCTCTCCTAAGGCTCCCTGTCAGAAGGTATCTTAGACTTGTGACAAGTTTCCAGGCTTCAGTGCCCCTGCTTTGGGTCGACTCTCTCTGGCTGGGCATTTACCCACAGGGGATGGGTAACTGGGTATTTCATTGGGAAATTATATCCTTTCTCTTCTGCCTTCTCTATGTACTCTAATCTATTAAAGTTCTTTCACACTAAGAGTATGCTCTGTCTTTATGCGGCAGATGGCAGAAACCCTTTAGAGCATACAAGTCTGGGGGTCCTGGGGTACCCCTAAGTCTGCTAACAAAATGACAGTTACCCGTGTCTGCAGCTAATATGCTCACCCAATCAGAGGATCTGCCCACGTGGGTCCAGCCAAGACAGAGTCTGCAGTGTATTCAACAGGCTTATAGTCATTCCACTCAGCAAGCCAGCTTACTTTCTCATCAGGAACCGGGCTGCGCTTAACTTTTGAACCTGGGTAAGGGCATACCCGAGCCTTGATGTGGTAATTCCTGATGGGACCACTAAAACCAGACATGATGTTGGAGTTAAGATGAAACCAGCAGGATGAAAATAAGTTTCTGGGGGGAAACAAAAAAGAAAAATGTTTTACATAAATATAAAAAAAAAAAAAACCTAATTCAAAGACCCAAAAACTTACCTTTTAATACCAGAGAACTATAATTCAGAAAATTCAAATTTGAAAAAAAATTCAAAGTTGATATGGATAAGTATGAAAGACAGTATCTGTGAAAGATTATTTTCAGATATGAAAAATTTTAAAATATAGCTAAACTATTAATACTTACTCAGTAAATTTATTTTAGTTGAGGAAAGGGGGTAGAAGTTTACAGTTGTATCACTTGCCATCAGGGAAATGCAAATCAAAACTACCATGAGATACCATCTTACACCAGTGAGAATGGCACATATTAAAAAAACTAGCAACAACAAATGCTGGCGAGGGTGTGGAGAAAAAGGAACTCTTCTACACTGTTGGTGGGAGTGCAAACTGGTCCAACCACTGTGGAAAGCTGTGTGGAGATTTCTGGACCTACTAAACATAGAGCTTCCATATGATCCAGCAATTCCACTCCTAGGTATTTACCCAAAGGACACAGAAACATCAATTCCAAAGAACACCTGCACCCCTATGTTTATAGCAGCACTGTTTACAATAGCTAAGCTTTGGAAACAACCCAAATGCCCAAAAATAGATGACTGGATCAAGAAGATGTGGTCCATATATACCATGGAATATTACTCAGCATTCAAAAAAGATAAACACATGCAATTTGCAGCAACATGGATGGCGCTGGAAGGGATCATGCTCAGCGAAATAAGCCAAAAAGAAAAAGAAAAATACCGGATGGTCTCACTCATAGCAGGAATCTAGAAAACTTAAATAAGGGACCAGGAAAACGAATAACTATAAGAAAGTGAAAATCAAAATCAACAAAAAACTATGAACCAGAGACACTTTTAGGGGGGTGGGGGCGGGAGGGGAGGGATTGGGGTCAGAATGGGGGGGCTGCAATTGTATGGGGAATACAACAATAAAATTTATTATTAAAAAAAAAAAAAAAAAAAAGAAGTTTACAGTTGTGTCATATTCACAGAAGGTAAGTTTGTTATGAAAACTCAACTATTAAAATAAATGTAAAAGATTATTTAAGTCTACATGAAAGAATATTTTTTAAAAAGTCTATAGTCTAACATACATGTGTAAAATGTATCACAAAAATAGCACAAATATATCACAAAAATAGCACAAAGGATGAATAGGGATATGGAAATAGATGGCTGTAAGATTCATTCATGATACATAATATAATGTTATTTGGAGGATGACTACAATTCACAATTTTTTAATAAAGTCACTATTATAAGTAATAGTAAAGTTTAAGGAAAGAAACATAAATTAATTGAAATAATTGTGCAACACATATAAAAACAAAACATAAACCAAAACAAAAAAATTGAGCCTTGATCTCTACATCACAGCATACGCAAAATTCCTTATTATGCCTCCTGCCTAAAAACTTTTATGGTTTCGGGCCTCCCCGGTGGCGCAGCGGTTGAGCGCTGGGTTGCGAAGCTGCCCGCAGCCTCTGCAGCGCCAGTTACATCCCCGGCTGCTCCCCTGCCACTGGAGGAGGGTCCTGCATGGAGCTCAGACCTCTCCTGCCGCCCGCTGCTCCCCTCAGCAGTGTACTTCGTCATTCTGCCTGCTCTGCTCCCCGCTCTGGCCTGGTGAATCCTCTCACCCTCCCACGCTTCTGACTGCACCCAGTGCTTGTATAAATAAATAAATAAATAAATAAATAAATCTTTTAAAAAAACAAAAACTTGAATGGTTTCTCATTATTCTTAAAATAATGATTAAATTTCTAATGATCCTAAGTAAGAATCTCTAAAATAGAAAATGGAATTCTGAGAACAGGGTAAACTGATAAGAGGCCCTTCCCTTGTTCTCACAATGCCAGTCAGCTTGTCTCTCTTGACACAAAGCTGATGGGGCAAACACCAATTTAATGTGGTGATTGGGCAAGTCAACATGAATTGCCTTCTGATACCGTAAATTGAGAAGTACACAGTGATCACTTCCAGAAACTTCTTATAAGAACATGTGACCTGAGTCAGACATGAAATACAGAACCAGGGCATCTGTACTTTTAAAATGAAATAGGAATAATAAAGTCAGAGAAACTCTTGCAGATAGATGGAGACTAGAGAGATAAGAAAACTAAATGCAATCAAATATTCTGGATTGTTTCCTGAAACAGAAGGGGAAAAAAGTATGGGACAAGTGGTGAAATTTAAATAAGGTTATAGAAATAATTTTTAAAAGTAATAAAAAAAATATCTACTTACTCTCAACAAAGAAAAGCTTAGGATCAGATGACTTCAGTAGTGAATTCTATTAAATATTTAAAGAAGAATTATCGCCAGTCCTCCCCACACTCTGAAAAGCAATCTGACAATAATGATTATACATTTATATCCTTTAACATAGTCCATTCCTGGCAATCTATCTATAAAAATAAAATACCCAGTAAATAAAGTACGGTTCACAGCCCCACTACCTGATCAATGTGGAAAAGTCCATCCCCCTAAAATGAGACCTCCATTACATATGCCTGGCCACTTCAGGGAACTTGATCCCCAATAAATGATGCCTGGTCTGTTCCGGGAACTGCATCCCCATCAAAGAGTACAGCTCCAATCACCAGGAGGCCGAAATAGATACCTGCTTAAAGGCCTTAAAAGTGTACATGAACATACTGGACAGACGGTCGTAATCTAGAGAGGGAATACTGCCTTTCCATGCCCTACCCAACCCTGGATGCCCAGGAGTTAAGGGTGAGAAAGTGGGGTGGAGCGCACAGGGGATGGGACTAGAACCAGGGTCTCCTCCAGACCACCCTGGTCCTCCTGGGGTTTCAGGGGCTTAAGGCCCTTAGGCTGCCCCTACCCCCAGGTATTACATGCTGAAAGAGAGGGTGTGTGGGTGCTATAAATAAATATACTTGCCCTTTGGGAAAAAATAATAATGTTTGCTTTAATAGTGTTCAGTGGGCAAGCAGTAAAATGAATGTCCAATAATGGGAATGGGTTAATAAATTATGGAAGAACTACACAATGAAATATTGTGCAGTTATTAAAAATAATGGTATCAAGTGACTTGTCACTATTATCACAAGGAACTACTGAAAAAAAGGAAGATACAAAAAAGTGTATGTAATATGATCCCATTTTTATAAAATGACAGAAAAAAATTTTAAGGACATACAATTTAGTGTATGTGCATTATATATTCATTCTCTACTACCATAACGAATTAACACAAATTAGTGACCCAAAACAATTTTATTATCTTACAGTTCTGTAGGTTAGAAGTCGGACACAGACAGCACTGGGTTCAAATCTACATGTCGTCCAAGCTCCATTCCTTTCTGGAGACTCTAGAAGAATTCATTTCCTTACCTTTACCAGTTTCTAAAGGTTACCCCCATCCCACGATTCCTGGTCACCTGCCTTCATCTTCAAAGTCAACAACATCAAATCTTTTTCAGTAGTTTGAGTGACCCTCTCTGACAACTGGGAACAACTCTTTATTAAAAATAAAAAAGACTCATAATAAGGGCTACTCTCTGCCTCTCAAATTTCCTAACCTTAATCACATCTGTGAAATTTCTTTTGCCATGAAAGGCAAAATATTCACAGGTTCCAAGGATTAGAATGTGGAGATCTTTCTGGAGCCATTAGACTACTCACCAGAAATGCCCACACTATTTATTACAGGAGTACAAGAAAAATATAGGAAGACCTAAACCACTGGGATCTGAACATGGGTTAGAAAATAGAGTACAGATATAGGTAAAGGGAAAAGGGAAAAAGAGAAGAAAAGGAGAATAAAAAGGAGGGAGGAAAAAGGGGGGAAAGACAGAAAAAGTGAATGGAGGAGGGGAAAGAAAAAAGGAAAGGGAAAACAAAAGGTAAGAGGAAAGGAGGGTGACATTAAAGGGATGAAAACCAGAGGAAAGCAGAGGGAGTTGGAACAAGGGACAAGAAAGTAAACAGAAAAGAAAAGCAAAAAGAAAAAAAAAAACCTACCCCAAAATAATGATCACATTTGTTCACTTAGATCAATTTATGTGATTACATTTGCATAGAAAGTTTATTTTAAAGATATTAAAGTTCATTTTACAAATCAAAAACCAGTTCTTAAAACTTGAATACCATACTAATAATGGTGCTCAGAAATAAAACAAATGTGAAATAATACAAATAGCCATAATAATAGTTATATGTATATAATGATTGCTATGTGCAAGACACCTTCCAAAGAGATGTTAATACAGTACAGCTCACAGTTCTGAAGTTAGTACAACTATCTGATTTTAGAAATAAGACCCAGAGACGCTAAGTTAACTAGGTCACAAAAGTGATAGAGAAATCAGGATCCAATCCCAGGCAAGCTGGGTCTCAATTCCAGGTTCTTAAGATTATGCTATTCTGTCTCCACCTAATTTTTAACCAGACTTATTTACATGTATTCATGGGAATAAAATATATATATTCCCTAGCCATGTCGCTGATAGATCCTGCTGGAAAATGTGAAAGCATTCAAAATAAGTCTTTTTATGTTACCTTTTTTTTTCCCCCCAGATTATCAGTATTACAACTTTCTAGTTAAATCACAATGATCAGGGCCTCCCCGGTGGCGCAGCGGTTGAGCGCTGGGTTGCAAAGCTGCCAGCGGCCTCTGCAGCGCTGGTTCAATCCCCGGCTGCTCCCCGGCCACCAGAGGAGGGTCCCACATGGCGCGCAGACCTCTCCTGCCGCCCGCTGCTCCCCTCAGCAGTGTACTTTGGTCCTTCTGCCTGCTCTGCTCCCCGCTCTGGCTCTGGTGAATTCTCTCACCCTCCCGCGCTTCTGACTGTACCCAGTGCATGTATAAACAAAAAAACAAACAAACAAATAAACAAATAAATAAAACATGCCTCTATTAAAAAAAAATTTAAAAAAAAAAAAAAAATCACAATGATCAACTGCAAAACTGTCACTTTCTGGATTT